CACAAGCACGCAGACGTAATCCGCTCCCTGGCACCAGCACGCAGACGTAATCCGCTCCCTATCATCTAGTTGCCATTATTGAAAAGATCTTTTGTACTAAACCTTTTCCCGAGCACAGTCTATGCCCAAGGCTGCACATACAGAGATCTTCCCGTTCTCCTCCAGGTAACACAAGGACAGCCCAGACTACTGCAAGATCTATCATTGGACGCCATGACGGACCCAACATCAAACCGGCCGTGAGTTCAAACCCCGACTCGCACATTTCTTGCTCTGATCTGTGTTCTGCTGGGAAGGTCTTACAAAGTCTGTCCGATGAATTCCAAGCCGCTGCGGACTTTCTACACAGATATAAATGGTCAGCTGTCCCCCTACACTATGATGGCATCCTCACAGGAAGGGACCGCATAACAAAGGGCAAGCCACAACTAGGGCTGCAACAACTAATCGACATAATCGATTATAATCGATTATTGAAAAAGTTGTCAACTATTTCAATCATCGATTAATCGGCTTCCGATTGGTTGCCCCTGTTCACGGCTCCACACACGCTGCGCGCCACACCTCCTCCCCACCTCAGACCCGCCCGCATCCATGCTCCACACGCCACACCTCCTCCCTGCCTCACGCTCACTGCCCGCCCAAATCCACGGTCGGCACAGGGACGCAGGGAGAAGAAGTAAGGAGGAGCAGGTGTGGGCGGATGACAGCCGCCGATAGACAGGCCCCATCTCAGAAACAGGTTGCTGGAAGACTGCTCAGGTAAGCCTGCACTTTCCCCACATGGTGCTCTATAATCTATGGCTGGGATAGTGGGATTTGTATTCCTCTATAGTTGATGGTACATTGTGCTGTATATTATACAGACCAATGTACCATCAGCTATAGAGGACTACAAATCCCAGCAATACATTATACACTGTATGTATAATGTATTGCTGGGATTTGTTGTATTCCTATATAGCTGGTGGTATTCTGCATTGCGCTGTATAGAGGACTACAAAACCCAACAATAGTACATTATAGAGCGCAATGCGGAATTCCACCAGCTTTAGAGGACTACAACACCCAGCAATAGTACATTATACAGCGCAATGCAGAATACCACCAGCTATAATGTACTATTGCTGGGATTTGTTGTATTCCTCTATAGCTGGCGGTATTCTGCATTGTGCTGTATAATGTACTATTGCTGGGTTTTGTAGTCCTCTATAGCCGGTGCCATTCTGCATTCATTGCTATATAATTTTACACTTTTCATTTCACTATATTGCACACCACACTTTCTTTTTTTTCTTTTTTACTTCCACCGCTCCAAGCTTGCTCCTGTGATGGACTGCAATCTCAATACAAACTAGTAGTCCCATCACCGGAGCCATTTTTAAAAATGTATTTTATTTTCTATCCGATTAATCGAACTTAATAATCGGCTAACTAATCGATTTTGAAAATAATCGTTAGCTGCAGCTCTAGCCACAACGGTGACCAACATAACCTGGCAGTATCACAGATACAACAGGCCATCAGCAGAGCCCACAATGACTATAGAACCAAGTGTGAATGTCCTCAGAGAGATCCTCAGCAAACATTGACAGTCTACAGGCCAAGGGTAGGCAAACTCAGGCCCTTCAGCTGTGGTGGAACTACAAATCCCATTATGCATTGGCCTCAGGGAGTTAAGAATGTGGCTGTCAAGAGTCCTGCAATGCCTCATGGGATTTGCAGTTTCCCCACAGCTGGAGTTTGCCCACCCCTGGTCTATAGATGGTTTTACACCAAAAGGAATTCAGGAAGCAGTCAGTCCCAGCTTAAAGGCAGCAGGAACTTTCTGAATGCTCGGACCTCAGTCTCTGGCTGTAAATTGATCATGCGTCCCATGTAGAATTTATAAGGGGCTCCTTCTGACACCACAGGCCTAAGATTAGACCTTAGAACATTCAGACAATATTAAAGCACTGTAAGGTATAATAAGATATATAGATAGAGATATATAGATAGATAGATAGAGATATAGATATATATACACTCCTCTGTTTACATCCCTTTCCAGTACACCACCACTATATAGTTATACTGGTAATAAAGTATGCATACAGTATAAGTATAACTCTGTTTACACCCAATTCCAGTAGGCCTCCAGTACATAGCTATACTGGTAATAATGTATACTTCTATTTACATCCCATTCCAGAACATTCCTGCACGGCGATGCTGAATGCATGGACAACCCTCTCTGTACGAGGAGTGGACGCAGTTATTTGTATTATTTTTGTGACAGTATATACACAGCATGTATAGTATATCTAGCTATATACATCTTATTCCAGTACAACGCCACCATATACCTTGCATGCCAATACCATATGTATGCTCATCACTATACACCACCACTAAATCCCTATATACACAATGGGGGGAATCTAAACTGGAGCAGAGAGAATCTGGAGCGGTTGCCAATGGCAACCAATCAGCTTCTGGCTTTCATTTTCAAAGCTTTGCTGAACAAATTAAGAAACGGATAGGTTGCCAGGGGCAACTGCTCCAGTTTTGATAAATTCCCCCCTCTGTGTATACACCATTCATGTACACTTCCACCATAAACATATAGGGGTAATACAGGATATACATCTACTGCTCTGTGTACATACCACCAGAGTACACCATCACTGTATACGTATATTAATAATAGGGTATGTATGTACACCTGCCACTGTACATATCATTCCAGTACACCTCCAGCACATACCTGTATACATATCCTTTTGTTTACATCCCAGTACAGCTCCAGTATGCAACTATACTAGTAATACTGTACATGCATGTGCAATCCCCCCCCACACCCGTGGGTAAAATCTGATCCCAACCTGGCATTGTGCTGTACCCCTATGCGTTTACTATTGTGCTGTACCCCTATGCATGTACCCCTTCCTCCAGCATATACTCCTCTGTATACATCCCATTCCTGTATACCTCCAAGGCATACAGGTGTCTTCACACCACTCCTGTCCTCAGTCCTTGTGTCACAGTGTATACACACACAGTGTAACACTATACAAACACACAGCAGCCCCGTACAGTCCTGGATCTATCCGGTAAGTCAATGCAAATAGGTAGAAGGATGTGCAAAGAGCCATCATAGAAAACACCCAGATACAGCCCACTGGGGACCTCTACTGACCTCCAGCACCCCGACAAATCTCTGCTGCTCCAGCCCAATGACTTCCTGATCATCTGATACCTCGGCCACCCTGAGCTCCTCACAATACACGTGTGCTCCCTGATAACATGCACTGGAGTCACATACACCCCTCACGTTACATTCATGTTCCAGTGCTCGGTGCACAGGTACACCTCCACTTCATATCACTGATATGTACACACTGCTCCACCACGCACATGTCAGGGGGGAGCTGTGTGATCAGAGATCATATATACTGTACCCGGGGGGCGCTGTCCACTGCACATGAATGAAGGCAGCTCGCAGGAGTGACAGCAGAGTGACACTAACACCGTGCAGGTCTGTCATCGCACTGACATGTGTACAGCAGTGATATACAGTGTTATCATATCATACAGGCAGAACACGCCACTCACACGTGTGTGTTGTATTGGCACACAGAGCACTGTGATGTACATCATGTTTCGCAGTGACATGTATGTAGTGGTATGATGTCTGTCTGTAGTATGGCAGGAAGGATTATTCAGTGCTAATGTGCAGCAGTATCATGCAGTGTAAAGACGATACGCAGTGACAGATGTAAGTGCTGGTCCCATGCATGTGACAGTGAGCAGGATGCAGTGTAAGGAGGTACGGTGACAGAGAGCTGTATGCAGTGTAAGGAGGTACGGTGACAGAGAGCTGTATGCAGTGTAAGGAGGTACAGTGACAGAGAGCTGTATGCAGTGTAAGGAGGTACAGTGACAGAGAGCTGTATGCAGTGTAAGGAGGTACAGTGACAGAGCGCAGGATGCAGTGTAAGGCGGTACGGTGACAGAGCGCAGGATGCAGTATAAGGCGGTACGGTGACAGAGCGCAGGATGCAGTGTAAGGAGGTACGGTGACAGAGAGCTGTATGCAGTGTAAGGAGGTACAGTGACAGAGCAGGATGCAGTGTAAGGAGGTACAGTGACAGAGCAGGATGCAGTGTAAGGAGGTACAGTGACAGAGCAGGATGCAGTGTAAGGAGGTACAGTGACAGAGCGCAGGATGCAGTGTAAGGCGGTATGGTGACAGAGAGCTGTATGCAGTGTAAGGAGGTACGGTGACAGAGAGATGAATATAATAGTGGTACAGTGGCAGCCCAAGGAGCAGTATATAAGAGCAGTACAGTGCAGTGAGCAGTAAGTGGTGGCAGTCAAGTAAGCTGTGTGTAACAGTGGTACATTGCAGTGAGCAGTGTAAAGTGTCAGTACAGTGTGCGATGTATAAGTGCAGTGCAGTAAGAACTATATAAGAGCAAAGTGGTGAGCAGTGTAAAGGGGCAGTGCAGTGAGCAGTAGATAGGAGCTGTGACAGTGCAGTGAACGTTATATAAGAGGAGTGCAGTGGCAGGGCAGTGAGCAGTATATGAGTAGTGCAGTGTATAAGAGAAGTGCAGTGTGTGTATGTATATATATATATATATTGCAGCCTATAGGATGAGTGCAGTGTATATAGGATCAGATCAGTGTATGGGACTAATGCAGTGAGCAGTATGTAGTGGCAGCATAGGAAGCAATGGAAGTGCAGTGAGCAGTATGTAAGAGAAGTGCAGTGTGCATAGGATCAGTGCAGTGAACAGTGCAGCCTATAGGATGAGTGCAGTGTATATAGGACCAGTGCAGTGTGCATAGGATGAGTGCAGTGAGCAGCGCAGCGTGCAGTCTATACGATGAGTGCGGTGTGGAGTATCCAGCCCAGGTTATGATGCAACAGAAGTTCCTCGGCCATCTGTTTGTGTGCAGTGTATCAGTCAGGGGCCCCGGGGTCCCGGATGGAGGGGGAAGCGTGTGGCTCTTACCGCATGGCTGGAGGTGGAAGACTCTCCGGGCTGCCATGGCTGCTCCTCCTCACTGTCACCCCATCTTCATCACATTCACACTTTAAGTTTCTTCTGCGAGGAGGATCTTGCCGGACTGAGCGGCCGCCCGTGCGAGGAGGAGGGGAGGAACCAGCCACGCCCCCGACCGCACCGCCCACCGCCTCCGCCCGCCTGTCCGGGGAGACGAGCCGAGCCCCGGGAGAGAGCGAGAGAGGCAGACACCCGGCCGGAGGAGATATGGGAAGGGAGGAAACACACTGCTCCCCAGGAAGTGAGGAGGCAAGGCACTGCAACCTGAGGAGAGAGCAGAGGGAGACACAGGGCGATTTATCGAAACTAGAGCAATTGCTCATGGCAACCAATCAGCTTCTGTCTTCCACTTTCAACGTTTAACTGAACAAACTGAAGAGAGAAGCTGATTGGTTGCTATGGACAACTGCTCCAGTTATGATAAATCCCCCCCATGGAGAAGATAAAGTATAGAATGCGGTAGTTGTTGCCCCTTGTTCCTTTGTTTTTCTTTGGACATCTGATGGCCTGAATATGGAGGATTGCTCTGCAACAGACCCTTGGGGGAGGGGCACTCTGCAGAGGTCCATGCTGTAAGCTGATTGGGGAGGAAGCCGTAAGAATTGTCCAATCTGACCGTTCAACTCTTCCACTAAGAAGGTTCCGGCTAAGAGATGTGAGCCATGGTAGGACAATGCCATCAGGCCTCAGCGTCTGAGGACACCTTTTGGGTGGCCATATTCTGTCAGCCATGGCAAGACAATGCAATGCAATCAGGCCTCAATGTTTGTGGACAACTTTAGGGTGGCCATGGTAGGGGAATGTCATCGGGCTTCAATGCCAATGGGCACCTTTTGGGTGGCCATAAACGATCAGGCATGCTAGGGGAATGCCATCAGATGTTAATGTCTCTGGTTCCCTTTAGGTTGACCATGGTAGGGGAATACCATCAAGACTCGGTGTCTGTAGATACCTGTAGGGTGGCCATAAACAGCTGTCCATGGTAGGGGAATGCCATCAGGCCTCAATGGCTTTGAGCACCTTTAGGTTGGCCATGGTAGGGGAATGCCATCAGGCCTCAATGTCTGAGGACACCTTTTGGATAGCCATGAACAGTTGGTTATAGTAGGAGATTGCCATCAGGCCTCAATGTCTCTGGATACCTACAGGGTGACCATAAACAATTGGCCACATTAGGGGAATGCCATCAAGCCTCAATGTCTCTGGATACCGTTAGGTTTGGCCATGCTAGGGGAATGCCATCAGGCCTCAATGTCTGTGGATACCTTGAAGGTGGCTATAAATGGTTGGCCATCGTAGGTGCATACTATCAGGCCTCAATGTCTGTGGACACTATGGTGGCCATAAACGGTTGTCCATAGTGGGGGAACACCATTAGACCACAATCTTTGTGGACACCTTTAGGGTGGCCATAAAGGGTTGACCATGGTAGGGGAATGCCATCAGGCCTCAATGTCTGTGAGCACCTTTAGGTTGGCCATGGTAGGAGAGTGCCATCAGGCCTCAATGTCTGTGGATACCTTTAGGTCCGCCATGCTTGGGGAATGCCATAAGGCCTCATTGTCTCTGGCTACCTTTAGGTTGACCATGGTAGAGGAATGCCATCAGGCCTCAGTGTCTGTGGACACCTTTAGGATGGCCACAGTAAGGGAATGCCATCAAGTCTCAATGTCTGTGGACACCTTTAGGATGGCCATGGTAAGGAAATTCCATCAGGCCTCAATGTCTGTGGACACCTTTAGGATGGCCATGGTAAGGAAATGCCCTCAGGCATCAGTGTCTGTGGACACCTTTAGGATGGCCATGGTAAGGAAATGCCATCAGGCCTCAATGTCTGTAGACACCTTTATGATGGCCAATGTAGGGGAATGCCATCAGGCCTCAATGTCTCTGGATACCTTTAGGTCGGCCATGCTTAGGGAATGCCATAAGGCCTCATTGTCTCTGGCTACCTTTAGGATGGCCACGGTAAGGGAATGCCATCAGGCCTCAGTGTCTGTGGACACCTTTAGGATGGCCATGGTAAGGAAATGTCATCAGGCCTAGTGTCTGTGGACACCTTTAAGGTGGCCATAAATGGTTGGTCATGGTAGGTGAATTCCATCAGGCCTCAATGTCTGTGGACAGCTCCAGGGTGACGCACCCAAATGTTGAAAACTCTTCAGCCACTGTACCCCCTCAAGACAGGTGAGTATTCTTTTCTTCACAGGGAGGCCTTTTTAATAAAATCTAATGGTTTCGAGGTCACCTGGAATTCGGGAATCTCACTGATCAACCTTCTATGAGAAAAGGGTGAAGAAGCAAAGTACCATGTGACCATCTACAGTCAGCGTAAGGGACATTCGGGGCCCAGATTAATAATATAACATGGCGGCAGCTGCAGCGTAAGGAGATCCTGTTCATTAGGAGAACCGATATAGATGGAGAAAGATAGCAGCAGCTGCTCGGCGGATATGTCAGTGATCACCGACAGCCCGGACAGTGCCGCTCCTTCCATCACACCGTACTCGCGAGGGATAAAGGGCCCGTTTATTAGACTTTGCCGGTGATAAAGCCGAAGTTTCAGGCTCTTATCTCCCTTCCCAGTCCCGGGCTTATCACATTGTGCCGATAATTGTAGCACTTTGTCAACACTCACACACTGTTGTGCCAACAAAGTCACGTTATAATGGCTCTCTGGTTCACCTGTGTTTAGTAAACTTGTGACGAAGAAAAAAATGACATTAAACAAAATAAATCCACAATCGTCATATTAGAATGTAAATGTATTAAAGCTGAACTCCGGCATAGGTACATATCATCTACATACAAGAGTCATTGTGTATCAAATTGTAAAAGTAGCAGTGACATCATCACTGTGCTGCCCATAGCCTGTGCAAAGCTGTGGGAGGGGCCAAGCAGGCTCCACCTACTACAGGAGGGGGCAAAGACAAGACCAGTCACCCTGTACAAGGAGAGAGATCAGCAGTGAGCGATCTTTATTACAGGAGGGAGCGGAGACCAGACCAGTCACCCTGTACAAGGAGAGAGATCAGCAGTGAGTGGTCTTTATTACAGGAAGCTCCAAGTTTTGCACAGATCGGGAAGAAATGCACAAGGAGGAGTACTCGCGACTCTTGTATGAGGACAATATTTGCTCATCCCGGAGCTCAGGTTGAAGATAACTCTCACACCATATGGTGCATACAATGCCGACTCGAAGTTCGAGTCATTTTCTGTCATTTCAGGCTTCCTTGAACACACATTGATAAGACAGTTTACTTTATGATAATCATTTTCTAATGTATAGCTAAGAAAACACTGCAAGAAACCTATGTAGAGAGTAACGTGGGGGCCGCTATTGCTGACCTGCATCTGGAAAGCTTGTTGACTGTCTGTCATGGTAATGCAGCGGCTTCAGTACTTCCTGAATCACTAACCCAGAAAGAGGATGCAGATACGGAGCCCCTAATGGCTGTACATTTGCTTTAGGTTGCTTGCTACACGTAATTTGTAGATAAAATGTACAGGTTACTGCTGTCTAAACACAAGGTGACTATGTGCACCCTAAGGAGATGTCACCTGACTCTATGCACCCTAAGGAGATGTCACCTCAGTGATTGCTCCCTAAGGAGATGTCACCTCAGTGATTGCTCCCTAAGGAGATGTCAACTGAGAGAAAGAACCCTATGGAGATGTCACCTGACTGTATGCACACTGTGGGGTTGTCACCTGACTGTATGCACCCTGTGGGGCTGTCACCTGACCGTATGCACCCTAAGGAGATGACACCTGAGTGTAAGCACCCTATAGAGATGTCACCTGACTGTAAGCACCCTATAGAGATGTCACCTGACTGTAAGTACCCTATAGAGATGTCACCTGACTGTATGCACCCTATAGAGATGTCAGCTGACTGTATGCACCCTACCAAGATGTCAGCTGACTATGCACCCTACCAAGATGTCAGCTGACTGTATGGATCCTATAGGGAAGTCACCTGACTGTATACACCCTACGGGGATGCTACCTGACTATGCACCTTATGGGGACTCCACCTGACTGTATGCACCCTATGGGGGCCCCTTACTTTTAGTCTTCCTTTGAGTATGCCGTCTGATTGTATAGACCCTAAGGAGATGACAACTGACTGTATGCATCCTTTTTTTTCCCCATCCAGATGTTTTTCCATCCAGACGGAAGGCGGCACCACAAAAACAACTGTACAATGTGTTCCTATTACAGTGCTGCAGGTATAACAGGTTAGTCTGCGCTGGGCCTTCTGAGCCAGGACAGGTTTTCCATGTCTGGCTCAGAAGGCCACCCCGGAGAGAAACATTTTGTCCCCGGAAAGGTTACTCTGCTCTATCTAGCAGAGTAAAAACCTTTCCCTGCTGCCTGTTTGTTTTTTTATTATTATTATTATTCTGATATCAGAGCCGCAGGCCGCCGTCAGAGAAAAAGAAAAACGGCATAGAAATGAATAACTAGATTGCTATTGGCTATTTGAATTTGCAATAGCCAATAGCAGACTAGCCATTGCACCCGCCCACTACTGCTGTCAATCAGCAGAGGTGGACCTGAAGTTCTGCATCAGGTACTCCTCTGCTGATTGACAGCAGCGGAGGGCGGGTGCAATAGCCAGCCTGGTGTCAGAATACTAACAAAAAAACCAGCAGATAGCAAGGGAAGCATTAGCTTCTTTGCTATCTGCCATCATTTCAGTGGGGTGCTCTTCCCCCTCCGCTGTGAATTGGGGGGGAAGGGGGCAGAGGGCACCTCCCTGAAATGACTTTTTTCAGGATGGGAACCCTGGGCATGCCAGGTTGACATTATCATTTTTAGTACCTGTGTAGCCTCAGAATCGGGAAGGCGTGCATACATTCATGAATAATGTATTGTGCGCGGCCTACGGTGCATTTGTCATGCATGTGACACGCGTTTATATTGAACATTTCATGTGTTTGAACAGCGATTCTTACCTGTAATGAAAAAAATGTAAAGTGATTGTGGCTGAATGACCTCAAACGCATACGCTGGATATGTCTCCTCGATGTTGCTTTGCATTTAC